ATTATTGGAATAATTCATTTGATCTAACCCCTGGTGCTAATAAGCATTTCTGATAGTTTCCATCTAAGGACAAAAAAACTATTGTACTCCTACATCCGTTTGTAAAGCACTTTTTATTGACTGGTTTTGCAAAGACTTTATCAAATTGTTTCTCAAACAATCCTATGATGTTGTAATAAGTCCCACAAAGCCTTGGATATACACACACCCACGGGAAGGCAAATGTTATAATTTGACATATTAACCTATGTATTTTATTGCCCAGTACTTACTGATAGTCCAGCCCTTTCCCTAGTTTTAGCAGCAGCTGGGGTGTGCCATTGACTGCCTCAGAGAAAGGACAGTGTAGCAGAACACAGGTGTCAGTGTTTGGCATAGGCCTTTTGAAAGACTAGGCATAAAGGAGACCTTGAAAGAGCAAAGAGACAAGAAAGAGCAAAGTAGTTCCACTTCTTCCCCATCTGGGTCCACAAGCTGCGAAGGGGGGGAGGTGAAGTTCAAACGAACAAGAGAGCTTAAAATGTTAACAAAGGAGTTTCCTGGATAGTGTGGCTCTGCACCCCAGATCCCAGAGAAGTTTGAGGGATCTGAGGGAAGAGAAAACCCATGCTTTGCTTCATGGGTAAAAGCAGGACAAGCCTCATATGGTATGGGAAGTGTGAGAATATTTCTAATGAGCACAAATATAATGATGACAAGGAAAGAAAGGTGACCAGATGTGATTAGTCCTTAAGCTCACTCTTTCTTCTGCCAACTCCAAGCTGCTGTAAATTTTAGTTCTAGAATTTCCATTCAGTTTCTGTTTCTCTACTAAGATTCTGTACCTACCCACTCATAATTACTCTTAATTTTTTTTAACCTAGTCTCAAAATTGGCTTATATTGACTGCATTTTGGGTTGGGTTTTCAAAAATTTTTTTAAATTTTTTTACTTTTTTATTTCCACCTTTATGAGAGAGGGACTTCTTGACAATGGTAGTATCAGAATTGGGTTAAGGGATGACAAAAATCTAATGTCAAAGCAGTCACTTGAAGTAAGGCAGGGCATCATCTCGTTAGAAATGGTGCAAAATATGTGATGATCTCCAATCTTCAAATAAGAAGGATAGTTACAAAACCCTTATGGAAAATATAAGAATATATCTCCAATCTTCTCCAGTCTCAGACAACTGGCAAGACCTGCCCACTCGTTAAACAGTAGAACTGGAAGAGGATTTAAAACATTAGCATCAAACTCCCTGCTTTCTGCCAAGAAAGACAGTCTCCTCCAATGATTAATTTTTTCTGAATAAAAAGCAGCTTTCTTGAATTTCCTAACATAAAGGTAACACATATTTATAGAAAAATCAGCCAAAACAGGCAGGCATAAAGAAGAAATTACTACTAACATTTTGCTGAACATCCTTTTAAATGCTGCTCTGTGCAAACATTTATGCATATAATTTTATATGAATGAAATAATATACATGATTTTAACTCAATATGTGATAAAGATTATTATCAAGAAATACAGAGACACATCATCCTTTTTAGTGACTATATATTCCCTTGCATGGGTTGTACCAAAATTTATTAAACCAGTCCTCTATGGAAGGACATTTAGTTCTAGATTCTTGCAATAATGAACATTTTTCCTGCTGTGTGTGTGTGTGTATGAGACAACTTTGTGTATTTTCCAGATTATGTCTCCTTCAGGTAGTACATTTCTATAACATTATTTCTGGGCCAAAGCATATTCTAAGTTTGTGATCATTAATAAACCATTCTCACCAGAAAGGTTGTACCCACACTCACACTTCCATCAACAGCGAGCCCCTTTCTCTCTCTTTGGTCATACTGGGTATGTGTAATCCTTTCAAAATTTATCAATATGTCAGGCAAACAGTAACATCTAAATTGTGTTGTGTGACTTGCCAATGAGCGCTAATGCTCATTGAGGATGGGTATTGTGCTGGGTGCTCCTTTCTGGCCTTAGATGGACAGTGAGTGCAATATGCAGAGATCTGTAATGTAAATGAGATGGTCTGGCCTCCATACTCCTAGCTTTGCACTAACTTTGTGTGTCCTTGGGTAAGATACTCAACTTCCCTGAGCGTCAGTTTCTTGAGCTGCAAATGAAAGACTCGGAATGGGTGTTCTTGCACTTCCTCTCTGGCTGTAACGGGGGTAGCGGCGAGTTCACTGTGCAGATCTGCAGTAGACACTGCTGGCTGACTAACCCAATGCCACTCGCAGCCCCTTCTCCCCTGCCTGCCTCTACTCTGGAAGAAGCTGGAAATGTTCAATAGTCTCCTTTGGAGCTAAGGAGTGGCCATTTTACCAAATTCTGGCTAATGGAGACATGAAGGGAAGGCTATGAGGGTACTTCTGGGAAACCAGCTTTTCTGATGAAAGAAACAGGCACAAGAGAGAGCAAACTCACAGTGGCTGTGTCTTTCTCACACTCTGCTTTCCGTGCAGACTTGATGCCTGGACCTGTGGGGCATGCAGTAGCTTTATACTGAGTGGACTCAGCTGAGCAGGATCTGTGCTTCAGAATCCTGGCCAGTTTCAAGGCTAACATTAGCTACAAGAGAAGTGTTGTATGAGACTGAGAAGGCATCAGGGAAGCAGCAGCCATGGCTTTCATGCTCTGAAGGACAATGCAGGGCTCCAGACACGGTGATAACTCTGGTACATTGTCACTGATCTGCCAGCTCACCTTGCTGGTATGAGGCAGCACGTGGACTCGAGCTGCCATCAGATCTCCTTCAGTTTCACTGCATCCTAAGCTAAGTGCAAGTGTAGCCCCATGAAGGGTGCCAGCTTCTCCCACAATACACTTACATTATCAAGGTCAGAGGTAGTGAGAGACACACACAAATCTGCTCTGTCCTTGAAGATTCTAGTTGTTCATGAATTCTAGGTTAGCCCTGTAGGTCCCAAGCCTGTAAGTGCTTTCATCCACAACCAGCTTTCTACCCTGACCACCATTCGGTCTGACCTATGATGACTTCCGGTTCGATCAGCGCTAGAATCAAAAACAGCAAACAGCTTTGCATGGCCTTCTCCAGGAGTTCCCACAATCATGTAGGGTCTAATGCATCACTCTCCAATAGAGCTTCTGTGATGACCGAAGTGTTTTGTATATGAGCTGCCCCATATGATAGCCACTAATCACATGCATATGGCTACTGGGCACTTGAAGTGTACCTAGTGCAATTGAGAAACTACACTGTTAATTTTGACTCATCTAAATTTAAACTGCCACCTGTGGCTGGTGGCTACCATATTGAAAAGCGCAGGTCTAGTGCCTAATAATAAATCTCTCATTTTTCATCACTTACAGTGGTTCTGTTTCTCTGACCGATGCATCCTGACCGATCTGAGCAGTGACTGGTGACTACACAAGGAAGGACATGTAGACAGCATGCTAGGTATGAAGGGCTAGAGATCAAAAGAGACTGGGTTCTCTGGGAGGCTCAGCTGCCTATAACTGTTGAACTTCTTATATGAGAAAAGTAGACTCCCTTTGAACTTGCCCTGTCGGGAGCCTCATCTCCATTCCAGTCCCGAGGCTAGAGTTATCAAGGTGAGCTAAAATATTCATGGAGAGCAAGCAGGCTGTGGTAAGATGTGCTCTTCAGCACCTAATGTTTTCGTTATTCCACCATGAGGACTTTTACCCCTTGCTTATTCCCTATGCAGATCCTTCCATCTCCCAGTCCTTCCTCCTTCCCCACATGAATATGACCTTCCTTACAGAATGCAATTACCCCCCTTTGTCTGTCACACTGGATTTTGTTTGTTCAAACAGTTTTAAACACCAGCCCATTTTCAGGAGTCTGCAATTGTGGCAATGGGGGTGGCGGACAACCACTTTTGTCAGCTCTAGTTTCTAAAACTGGCCACTTACTAATAAGCTTTACAAGGAATCCATCTTTCCAGATGTGCTCTGCACCGTTAACCTGAAAGAATTAATCCTGAACAAGAGCTTCTTTCAAGACTGTGCTTGACGAGAGTACAATGAGCAATGATTTCAAGCTGTGTTCACAAACAATTCTACACACAAGGAACATTTCTTTTTCTTTCTTTCTTTTCTGGCTTGCTTAAACAAGTGGTTATCCGTTATGGTGTTGACATAGGAAAAGGCGAAATGCTGGCAACAGAATCAAAGCAGCAGGGCAACAGACAGCTCAGCGGTGGCAAGGTTTGGTTCCTTGGACAACCAAGCGAGCTTTTCACTTCCTCCTAATTTGGGTCCCGCCCTCTTAGTTTATCTTCCTGAGAATGTCAAAAGAAAGAGAAAAGAACTATTGGTCCAACTGCGCGCGGTCTTTGGTGCTTGTTGCTCCCTTCTGATACTCCTCTCCCAGGACAGGGTCCTTCTAACTTCTCTATCGTTTGGTGAGTCACTTTGCTTTCCTGTTGTTGCCTTCGGTGAATTCTGCGCACACCCCGCAAGTGCCCCGCACTCCCTCCGGGCCCTCTGCTGGGGCTAAACGCGTCCTAGCCAAGGTTGGCAGCCGCGCGGCTTCCAGCACCCAATCCCGAGGGAACGGATCCGGGAGGGGGGTGGGGACACCGCGGGGTCCGCGCTCCCGCCCTTTCTTCTCTCCCGGCCGAGGGACTCGTGGTGCCCCCAAGGCGTGTGACCCGCGTTCCACCTCTTGGGTAGCTGGAGGGCGCTAGCCCCTGGCGCTGTGACCCGACGTCTGGGTCCAACCCCTGGCGGGTGCAGAAGCGGTGACGGCTGCCCCCGCGGTTCGGGCTCCCGGCAGAGGTGGGTGCGGATCAGCTGCGGAGGCCGGAGCGCCGCCCGGATGCTGCAGCCTAGTGGTGGCCTCTCCGAGAGCAACGGGAGCCCTGGGGCCCAGTCTGCCCTGGGCGCGCAGGGGGCCGGAAGGGGGCTGTGGACTTGGGTCCCTCCTCCTTTCCCTCAGCTTCTCCTGCTCTCAGACCCTCCTCCTCCCAGGTACAAGCCGCGAGAGGAGGGCGCATCTCTCCTCCCGGCACTCCACCATGGGCAATATCTCCGAAGACTCCTCGCGGGAGGACTGCAAGTCTCTGCAGTCGCTCCCCTCCGGCGAAAGCCCGGCCATCAGCTCGGTGATGTTCTCGGCCGGGGTGCTGGGGAACCTCATCGCGCTGGCGCTGCTGGCGCGCCGCTGGCGGGGGGACGCGGGACGCAGCGCAGGACGCGGGAACTCTATCTCCCTGTTCCACGTGTTGGTGACAGAGCTGGTGTTCACCGACCTGCTTGGGACCTGCCTCATCAGCCCCGTGGTGCTGGCTTCCTACGCTCGGAACCAGACCTTGGTGGCCCTGGCGCCTGAGCGCCGCGTGTGCATCTACTTCGCCTTCGCCATGACCTTCTTCAGCCTGGCCACTATGCTCATGCTCTTTGCCATGGCCCTGGAGCGCTACCTATCCATCGGGCACCCCTACTTCTACCAGCGCTGGGTCACGCGCCGAGGCGGCCTGGCGGTGCTGCCCACCATCTACACGGTCTCTCTGCTCTTTTGCTCCCTGCCGCTGCTGGACCCCGAGAAGTACGTCCAGTACTGCCCTGGGACGTGGTGTTTCATCCAGCACAGCCAGACCACGTACCTGCAGCTCTACGCCACCGTGCTGCTGCTCCTCATCGTCGCGGTGCTCGCCTGCAACTTCAGTGTCATCCTCAACCTCATCCGCTTGCACCGTCGGAGCAGGAGAAGTCGCTGCGGACCCTCCTTGGGCAGCTGCCAGGACGGCCCTGGGACCCGCAGGAGAGGGGAAAGGGTGTCCATGGCGGAGGAGACGGACCATCTCATTCTCCTGGCTATTATGACCATCACCTTTGCGGTCTGTTCCTTGCCTTTCACGGTAAGTAAACTCGCTTTGTTTCCGCAGCCCGGCTCTGAGCAGCCTTCTCACTCTCTACCCTCTGCCTCCCACACTTTCCACCGTCTTACCTTTGCAATTTGTAAAACCACGTTCTGATTCTTGAGGTCTAGAGCCTTCTCCTCTCGCTTCTCACCTTTGTCCCACATCCTTCCTCCCCTAACCTTTGGTGGCTCTATGCTAGTGTTTCTCACACCTAGTATAGTCCCCCTGAGAGGGATCCTTGACCCTCCGCTAAGCCCGCCCAGACCCCCAGCCTAGAGTTAAAAGGGGGAGAGGGATAGGTCCCTGTTCCCCTCTGCCAGCCTGGCTTCTGCCTGAGGAGAGGCAGCCCCTTCCACCTGTGGATGGGTATCAGCTACAGCTTGACTTCCCTGGGCTGCAGTTCACCTCTAGGTGTTCCCCACCCACTGGTGCGAGCTCTCCATGCTTTCGCCTTCTCCCAACACAAAAGGTGGTACCCAACACCCAACCTTCCAGCTGCCATTCTCACCCTAGGTGAGAAACATCCCTGTTGGTAAGTTTAGAGCATTCATTACTTGTCCTAAAAGTTCAACAATCACAGACTTTACAAGTTTCCCAGTTTACATATTAGGAGCATAACCCTTTGGGGCCATGGGAAAAAAAAATATGTGGACATTATATTATGTCCATAATGATAATTAAAGGGAAAGATGGTTGCTTGGAGAAACCCCTTGCTGAACTCTTGCAATTCCTCTAAAGGACACATTTGTACTTCCTTATGAAATATCCTCTTCATATAACTATCAGATATATCTATAGGTGTTCTTCACCTTATAGCCATGCATTTGCTGAGCACAAAGCCACATACAGGAATGGCTGGTCCATCTTTGGGATGGGAGAGTTAAGCACATCCAGCTTGTTCCGTGACCCAGCAAGCCAGAGGCTGCCCCAGGGAACTGAAGACAGGAGCCCAGGTTTGGGAATGGCTGCTATCCTAGTCTGGGGCAAGCTTAGCTGTTAGTTCTGTGATGCTATGAACTGGAGCCTCCCCAGGTGTAACGCAGGTAACAGAGCCCCAGATGTGTCTTAGCATGGCCCCTTACCAAAAGCTGGGGAGGAGGAGTCTTGGTAGTCCCGCTTCCCACTCTTCAAAAGAACAAGACTGACTAACAGGGAGTAAGCAGTTGGCAGTGATTCCCTCCTGCCACAGTCTTGGAGAAAAGAAAGAGATAGTCAGTGCCTATGTTACCAGGTCTGACCGTAGAAACTGAAGTAACTTTACCTCACTTTTGGCTTCCATCACTGTTGATTATCTTCATATGCTCCTCCTCCAGGGTGGGAAAGGACACTTGTCCTCCTAAATGAACTGATTCATAACCATGTTCTCTTCTTCCTGGTCCCCATTGTCCTCACACTCCTACCCCATTCTCTGTCAGGGCAGAGGCTGGTCTGAATCCATAAGGACAAGAAGGTAACCCCTTATGAAAGGAGGTAGCACTATGGGACCCCGCCTCTTCCATTCCACCCTGAACTGGGGCATTTGTATAGCAGAAAGGCTGTGATGTAGAAACCAGCATGACTTCTATGCATTTCTTTTATTTTACTAGTAGAAACTTTTGATGTCATGTTAGGAGTTAAAGCAACTTTTTTGGGTCAGGACAAAGATGCAGAACCTGTATCTATGAGAGAATAAGCATTTCCAGTTCCACTAAACAACTTAGAATCCAACTTAGAGGCCATAAACCCCTTCCAAGTTGGGCAGTGCCAGTCTTAGCCTGATGAGAATCGGGAAATCAGTTCTTGGAGTCTCATCTGTGATTTCTGAGTGTGTATTTAAAAATACCCAATACCCCCAGCCACTTAAATAGCTTAGGAATGGGCTCTGAGGGGACCACAGACTTGTGAACAGGGTTATTATTCCCTAAGCTCTTTAGAGGAAGAGAACAGGAGGAAAAGATCTTTCCTTTGATCATGACTAACCCATTGCATAAATATATTATCAAACATAAAGGCAGTGATTTTCAACAGGTTTCCCTGTTTTCAAGTAAATTTGCCTTTTATCATGGGAACTCAGTCATTGCTATATGTTGATTTTCAAGTCTCCCTGTGTAAACACATGCACACGCACACACACACACACACACACACACTTACATGAATATTTATTCTCCTCCTTTATTTACTGTTAAGGGAAGCTCCAGAGTTGCCAAATGGAAGGGGCTTAGAGCTAGAAGTCTGGTTAGAAGGAGTAGGGTAGTAGGAGGTTTGCTTTGAAGCTGTGTTTTTATTTAGATTGTCTGTTTATGGCTTGAGGACACCAGATGAAGATTACGAGGGCCCCTTACGATAGTGGCATTGACACTATCGGCAAATATTATCCAGATTTGCTTCTGAATGTATGCATGGCAAAGATACTCAAAGAGTAAAGGAAAAGCCTAGAGTGAACATAATCGGAAAGCCAGACATGCTCATCCTTGCCTTGGGACTAACATGACATATTATCTAGATGCAGAATGGGTAACTCACCAGGCCCCAAATAGATATTTGAACTGTACCTTGAAGTTGTCTTTTAGTAAGAAAATTTACACCAACCATTGACTAATTTTACTTTATCAATAAATTACTGGTACTTGTTAGAAACTTTCATTTACATGGCACTTTAAACTTTATAAAATGCTATAGTATCCTGATTTTTGCTATCTCCTGGAGGGCTCATCTGATGATTCCAAAGTCACAGCTACCATTTGGTGCATTCATTCTGCTATTTCAGAATGCTTGCCATGGGTGCTCGGGGAGGGGCCCTTTCCCCTCATGTCCTTTTGGTCTACTTGGTCTACATGAAAATTGTGTAGAAATGGCCTATACCAATCTCCCACACAAGGCAGGAATAATTTCCATACATCCTAACTGGGATGCTGTTAGACAAGGCAAAGACTTGTGGTTGTCTTCAGAAATTCTCCCGTTTCTCCAACAAAACATATGCAGTCCAACAGAAGTACAGTTGAGCCACATATGGAATTTTAAATATTCTATTAGCCAAACAACAAAAAATAAAAAGAAATGGTAAAAATTAATCAATATCTTCTATTAAGCTAGTATATCCAAAATATTATCACTTCAAAATGTAATCACTGTAAAGTGATTATTAATGAGCTATTCCAACTAATTGACTTCTCTGTTCCCAGAAAGTGCTAGCAATCTACTCTATCTCTGTCTGTTTCTTCCTCAGGATTACAGAACTGCTTTCTATGTCCCTCGAAAGTAGGCCACATCACTGGCCCAGGAAAGAGGAGATTTCACAGCTGTGTACCCAGTGGGGCACCGGCCTTTTCCAGCACTCCAGTAGTGAGGGAAGGAGGAGAGTGGAATTTAAGAAACTGGATATAATCGTGTCAGTGTTATCCCAAGGGAAGGGCAGGTTAGAATTACTGTTTCCTCCAAGAACACCAGTCTAGGACTTCCAATGTTTGGCAGTAAAAACTATCAAAATGGAAAATACCAGCGCCCTGGGATGAAGTCAAATTCAACCTTCAAATATCATTATTATCAACATCAAAATGGCTAATATTTTGAGTGCTAATTTTTATATACACTAACCCATTATCTCCACAACAACCTGCAAAATAGATGGTACTGCTGTTTCTTTTTTACAGATGAGGCAAATAATGCCCTGGGTCCCCCAGCTAGTGATCACTGGAGCTGGGGTTCAAAGCCAGACAGTTTAAAAATGCAGAGCCTATCCTCTTAACCACAGTACTATCAGAGGGAAAAGTACTTCTTTCAGGGGAAATGTGTTAAAATAGTAATCCAAGATTTCACAAAGGAATGGTGAGGATGTTATAAATATATGGATCGCTTTGTCTTGATTCCAACTTGTTAGCTTTTTTTTTTTTTTTTTTGAGAGAGAGAGAGAGAGAGAGAGAGAGCATGCGTATGCACACCCCAGTCGGGGTGGGGGAGGAGCAGAAGTAGAAAGTATCCCAAGCAGACCCCGGGCTGAAGGGTGGGGAGCCCAAGGAGTTCTATCCCACAACCCTGAGATCATGACCTGAGCCAAAACCAAGAGTCAATGCTCAACTAACTGAGCCACCCACAGGCCCCCCACCTTATTCAGTTTAAAAATAAAATGGCAAAGACCTTTTTTCCATCCCGATCAAGGGACTTGAGCTGGGGCCAAGTGTGCGGTACCTTTGTTCTTCTCCACAGTCCTATGAATTGAAAGCCTGAGACCGAGATTGAAGGAGATTGGCTAATATAAATGCTGGTCTAAATTAAGAAATAATCAGATTACCCCTCACATAAAATCTTCTGTTGGTACACATAAAACATTTCTTATGCTATTAAAAAAAAAGTATGTTGTGGTTAGGAAATGGCATTATTTTGGCTGCCCAATATGAAATCATGCATGGAACCAACAACATATTCCAAACTGTTTATGTACTAAAGAGATAGTGTATAAATTAATGAATTCCTCCTTATGTTGATCAGCTGTTGCCATTATTTCACAGGGATAAATAGAAACTTTCTTCCTGAAATGGAACAGAACACAGAAAATATATCAGACCTCTATTCTAGACCTCGCCTCAGATACTGTTTGTGTTTTAATTTTCAACGCATGTCAAATTACTTGGTTCCTACTTTGCCAAGAGCTGTGGACAGCTGCTGGTGATTTTAAACTGCTTTCTTCTTGCCATTAGAATATTTTATTCAGTTCTAAAATTTCAAAAGTGAACTATTGGCTCATTCTAAAATTGTCTTCATCTTTAGAAATTCTTTAGGGTTGTAATTTCTAGGCAAATCTGATTAGTAGAAATATGATCTTCAAAATACAGAACAAACTCAAGTAAATAGTTCTGGAGTTTCCTGTTCATTCCTGGAACTCTTCATATAAAATGTAACATGAATGGGAATTGTAAAACATATGAAATTTGTTGATTACGTACATGCAAAATACCACAGTTCTAGTAGGGATAAAAGAGAAATTCAGAACTCTTCATGTATAACCACAGTGAATTTGC